ACCATCTTCAAGAAGACAATAGAGCACCTTAAAAATGCGATTCATTGATCTTTGGTTTTTGTGAGTCCATTTGTCCATGATTCATTTGTGCTCTGATCACTATTTGCCATGATGCCGACTCGAGAGTAGCATTCTCGGCGAAGAAGCTATGAGATGACTTGTGCATCAATTGACCTCGTAAGCTGCTAAATGATCTAGAAAATCCTCTATCAACGATCGAAGGTGCATGTTGCTATAGAGGTCTGGAGAGCTGCATTGGTTTGAGTTAGGTTTGCTTGGGAACAAGCAAACGGTTAAGTGTGGGGGGATTTGATGACTTGATATTTGTACATGTTTTCCCCTTTGTTTCTTGATCGTTTAAGATTGAATTATTTCTTCTTTGGCCTATTTTACGCTAGGTTTTGTTTCTTTGTCACATTTCAGGTCCTAGCACATAAAGTGAAGCGTAGGCGCAAGTTTCAAGTCAATTGGAGATCAATTGGCGACTCGGGGGAAGAAACTCGGGTATGACTTGAAGAAGAATAGATTTCTACCTCCGTTTGTGACCATATAATCATGTAATCTTGTCATGAGAAGAAAGAGGACAAGACGACGAGCGTCTGGAATCAAACGACACCTGATTTGGAGTGCGAACGAGGGAGAAATGAAAAATAAAAAAATAGGGGACCGGAACTGCAAAATACCCGACCAAAATACCCAACCGGGTATTTACACCATCTGATAGGGTATTTTTGATAGCATCAAAAGGCTCCCCGGTCGTGAACCAAAAATACCCGGCCGGGTACCCAAAATACCCGATTGGGTCGCGAACGCAATCTGTTAAAAGCCTGTTTTGTGCGTTTTTGGACGGGGAGAGCTGGGTTTTGGATTCCAAACACCCAAGGGACGAACCAAAGAGAGAGAGGGCGATTTGAGGGCCATCTTGGAGTGGAATTGGACGATTTCTTCGCCTTGGAAGCTCGAGGAACAAGCCCGGACTTGAAGACTGATCATCTGAAGATTCTTACTGCAGTCTCTCTCTTCTCTATGGAGTAACTTCCCTTCACTTAGGTTTTGAGGAACCCTAGATATGTTTGTTTGATTGGATAATTGTATGACTACTATTACTTGATAATCTTGAGTTCATTATCAATCTATGCATGTTTTTATCATTCAATTCTGCTTTAGTCGAGATTATTGATTCTGCTTTGATCCTATGAGAGAGAATACCTGATTAGGTCAATAGAGCACCATAGATTGATAGTACTGGATAGATTGCTTTAGTCGAGGGTTGATTCACTGCTTCGTATCGATTGAGAACCTCATTGGATAGAGGGAGTCTAGTTCAGAACGCCTTGATCGGTTGTTCTAGAGAAGGATACGTCCCTCTAGGCAATCGATTCAAGAGGGCCTTGATCCTTTAGTTTTGAGATTCAAGGTCTAGTCAAGGATTCTCCGCATTGTAAATGAAAGTGAAACAGGTTAGAGATCATCAATCATTAATCTGGCTAGTGGCTGGGGGAATCATACCTAAGTGAGTTCCCAACCTGTAATTAGATTAACTTTAACTGTAGTTTGTTAGAGTAGTTTTAGTTCTTCCATCTTAATCTGGTTTGCTAGATAATGAACTGAAGTTGAGTAATAGTAACTCTAGTGACCCATGGATTCGATATTTATTACTTGAGCCACTATACTGCAGTCCCTGTCATTGGTTACACTTGACCATTGTTAGGAGTTGTGTCATAGCAAGTCAGTCATCATTAACATCCCAAGGCCATGGATAGTTGAAATCAAGGATGGTTGTCGCGGCTATCAAACCATCATTGCCGACATTTCTAGCCGTTATGGTTATATCATTAGCTACAAGAAGGCGTGGCATGGAAAACAGAAAGCGATGGCCGCCGTGTTTGGTGATTGGGAAGAATCATATGCATTCCTTCCCAAATTGATTTTGGCGTTGGAGGTGTCTAACCCTGGCACCATTTTCTCTTCTCGCTACCAAGATGAAGAAATTCAGCCGCTGGTGCCTGGTAACAAGCGCCATTTCAAGCGTCTTTTCTGGTCATTCAAGCCATGTATTGATGGTTTTCCATTATGTGTTCCTGTGATTCAAGTTGATGGAACATTCCTTACCGGTAAGTACAAGGATACTCTACTGCTCACCAGCGGAGCAGATGCAAATAGAGCAGTATATCCATTAGCTTTTGCCATTGTGGAGGGAGAGAATACCGATAGCTATGGATGGTTCTTCAGACAAATTCAACTCCATGTCACCAGGAGGACAAACCTAACAATCATCTCTGATCCCCACACTGGTATAAGGGCTGCTATCTTAGGCTTGGATCCATCCTGGAACTGGTCATATAGATGGTGCATACGACATTTCAAGAGCAACTGGAACCATCATTTCAAGCGAAAGAAGCTTGCTGATAGTCTATGGTGGATCGGTAAGAGTTCTATTTCATTGGTCTATATCTTTTGTTAACTGGAAAAACGAGGACTAAATCAATACAATACAACACTTATTTAGACTCTTTATAAAGTAATGCATGCCTAAGGAAATGGGGTTTTAAGCTATCATCATGATCCTCCCATTTCCTGGGAAAATCGGGTTCTAAGCGATCCTCGGATCCCCCCTTTTTCTGTCAAACAGGCTATGTTTCTAAGGAGATGTATACCTCTCCTAAGAGTCTTACGAGTGTACTTGTATTACTCAGAACGGAAGCCTTGCTTACCTTATGCTTTTGTTCGTATATTCATTAGCTGTCGCTTACCAAGAGAAGAAATTTAAAGAGAAGATGCAGAATATCCGTTAGCTATGCCTTGAAGGTGTGCAGTAGCTTGATGAACATGACCTTGCAATGTGGACGTTTCATAAGGACGGAGATACCAGATGGGGTATTGCCACAACGAACTCAAGCGAGAGTATAAACAACGTCTACAGGGAATGTTGTGCACTCCCCATCTTTGCAATTATTGAGATGACATTCTGAAAAACAAACGCATGGTTCGTCAACCGTCTCCACTGGTGTGAGAAGAGGGAGGCACAGGGTAAGGTACACTCCGATAAGGCCACATAAATAATGGAAAAAGATAAGTGGAAGAGCTCTCGGCACACTGTTATGAACCGAAATGTTGACGAGTATTCGCTCGAGACTGGGCACTGGGAGGATGGGAGACGTGGAGGTCATCGCCATGAAGTCACTGTCAACTTTAGGACCATAAAAGGGGAGTGCTCTTGTCATAAGTATTAGGGTAGAGGTATACCTTGTTCCCGTTCAATGGCTGTAATAAAGCACAGTAGCAAAGACCCTCGTCATTTCGTCAATCCGTTCTTCAACATCGACTCACAAAAGAACAGTTATGGTAAGAGTTTCTGTGCATTGCCGGATGAAGCTTACTGGCCAGTTTATGAGGGTAAGGTCATCATCCAACCAATCGGACTTAGGCGGGAAACAGGTCGCCCGCGGGTAAAATCGATTCCAAATGAGATGGATCAAAGTGGAAGACCACCGCGAGGGCCAAGGTGGTGTTCCATATGCAAAGTACCAGGGCATGATAAACGAAAATGTCCCGGACCAATTGGTCCTCAAAATCCAGGGCCCGATGTGGTGAACCCGGATAATGGCGCATATATTGATTTCATGCATTTTCACAGGGTGTATTAATTTCAATGGTTACGTACTTGTATTTTGTGTGCTTAAATGGCATTGGAGATCTGAAAATTTATACACTTTGATGCAATGTTCCATCTTTTTGAATAAACACATCACTCACACAAACACACTTCTACTTGAAAAAAAAAATTCAAATAAAAAAAAATTGTTTAACTTAACTTAAACAAAACATAACTTGAAATAAACACAACTTGTCACACTCATGCATTATTTCGACGATTCGCCCTCTGTTTCCTTGTGCGATGGGGGACTGGTCCACCTGGTGTAATAGGGGTTGGAAGTGGTGGAAGATTCCTATTCACCTTAGAAGGGCGCTGGTCTGTGCTATGCCGCCCAGGGACGGAGTCAGGATTTGAAGTTAGGAGGGGCCAATTTTTTTCCACAAAAACATAATTAAAAAATTTGATTATAAATTCTTCGAAAACACTAAAAATAACCCATTTATGAAAAAATTTAAGGATTTATTTAAATGAATATATAATCTATACTAATATACTTTTTTTTCTCTAGAATGCAAGTCACTAATGTATTTATAATTTTATATATTAGAGTAATTCGTTTCTTGTTACGATAGGTAGTTAATTTAACAAAAGAAATTGTGATGAAAAATTCAAATTTTCACATAGTAATTATACTTTGGATGTATCAATAAAAATTAAACTTATATATGTCAAACAAAATATTAATCAAATTAAGAAGCAAATTGAGATATTAAGGAGCCATTCATAAAAAAGAAGCAACACAAAAAATTTATCAAACTAAGAAGCAAATTTATATATTAACAAGCCATGCCATTCATAGAAATAAAATAAAAAAGAATAAGTTATGGCTGAGATATTAACAACTAACAAGGCATTCGAGTTAAAAAGTGGCAGCAGGGGTGACTCGAACGGCTGTCCTCTCACTCGCAAGCAAGCAAAATCCAGCATAAACACCACTTCGTCTACACTCCAATGCTTGCATGCTAACAATTTACAATGGTTTTAAATCTTAGGGGCAATGGCCCCTCCTACCAACAAGATGGCTCCGTCATTGATGCCGCCGCGGTGTCGTGCTAGGTGGTTCTTCCGTGTGCGGTCGAGGGCTATCCACGCTCATACGGTGGGGAGTGGACTGCCATTGTTGTTGCGGTCGATGCAAATGTGAGAAGTCTTGGTGGGGACTTGAGGATGAACCATCGGCCCAAGTAGCCGAGGATGTGGCAGCATGAAATGTACTTAGCCGGGGATTATCGTGGAAACTGGGCAAGAGATTGTATTGGAAACTCGGTCGGGGATCATAGTGGTAACCATGCGGGGGATCGTAGTGGAAACTGGGGCGAGGCTCATGTTGAGTATTGGGGTCCTAGAAAGCAATCGGTCGCGGATCGTAGTGAAAACTCGACCAGGGTTCATACTGAGTACTCGACCCTGCACCTTGGCACACCTCCAATGGAGTAAGCACCATCCATGCCTCAATCAGCTTGATCTCGGGAACGTGAGTTCGATCCCTTGTAGCCTTGTTTGGCCTTCTATTGACCGGCAGAGGCACGTGGGGGACATCTTTCGTCACCGGTCGCGGTGTAACTGGGGGAACTGGCGGGTATCTGTGACGGTCACGGGAGCACGCTCTCATACAGCCAAGGAGGCTATTCGCTATCCTTCGAATGAGCCCCACCTCTCGCCCCGTCGCCAAAGGATCTGCAATACGAGCGAGGTCGTGTATACGGTCGATGCCATCAATCTAAATCGCAGAAAATAACAACGTTAGCCATTTAAGTAGTAATGCCCCAGATGACTAAATATATTGATGCTCAAAGTAAATAAATAAATTAATATGACTGAATTACTAACCAAAGCTCCGTCCGCCGCACCTTCGGGGGTCATGTAACATACAGATTTTCTTCGGTATGTTTCCATGTATGGGTCATGGTAGCCCATCCGCCCCACAGCTGATGTCGTCACAATATCCTGATCTTGCCTATTATTCCACAGATCGATTAATTCTTCAAACTCTTTGGGACAATTAGTTGATCCTTGTCGACCATCTTTCCGATGGTACCCCCTCTGGCTCGCTGGGACTTCCTATAGTAGGCATTGCTCACGTCCGAATTGTCGTAGACATCGATCCGACAAGTGCCACTCCACTATATGGAGGCAGATTAGTGGCACTCGGGTGCACCATTGAACGGTATCAACGGGAACTTGTGGACGTGATGCGCGACGATGTGTTCTGGATACGGATCGAACTTAAGCTATGAAGGTGCAGAAAAAATGGACCATCAAGAAACATAATAAAGCAAGTTGAAAATACAACAGGATGTAATAGTGTATTATGATGGTTACCTCTGCTTCCCAAAGGTGATCCAGCCTCCTACGATACTCCTCCAGCTTATGCGCTCCTATGTTATCGCATGTTGTTTCACCAATCCACCTATTAATATGGAAAAGTACACAATGCTAATACATACCAAAATTTCGTTATAAAATACTTAATTAGTAAAAATAAGGTGAGAACTATGAGTGGGGTAGAAAATATTTACCTACAACCATAAGCTTCATGTCGTAGGGGATGGTCGGGTGCCCATTCCTTGTCGGGGTCTACCTTTGGCGCAATCCATGGCAAATGCTCCCAAGCCCAAAATTGAACGATGAACATGGCCCCATCAATCTCTTTCACCGCTCTCGAACTAGCATTACAGAGGGAGCGGTAGAGATGAGCTAGGCAAGCAGATGCCCAGCTCAGGTTTCCCATATCATCCCAACTTCCAAATATGATCTTCATCCATGAATTGCTGAATAAATTGTTGGATTTTTTGGGGAAGAAAACTCCTCCGATCATGCCGAGGATGTAGATACGTGCATAAATTTCTTTATCAGGCTCCGAACTCTCCTCCGTGAGGGGAGTGCCTCCGACCTCGGGGTTGTGCTTACGCCTGATCTCCGCTGTCGACCAAGTGATGGATACTTGGCCCTTGGACAATGGTGGATTACCATCCACATCGTGATCTCCCTTTTCTGGCAGACACAACTCTGTGACGATCCATATAAAAGCTGCCAATCACTCATATTGGCAACAAATTTAGTTGGTGGCATAGATTCCACACAAATAACATCACCATCGATGAGCAAAAAGGTTAGGATGGCGATGTCCTTAAGTGTGATGGTGCACTCGCCTTCACGAAAATTGAAGCAATGTGTCTCCTTTCGCCATCTCTCTACCAATGCTATGATGAGTTGGCGGTCGATCTTTATTCCATTAAAGTGCCTAATCGGATCCAATCTTGCCCTTTTTAGAAAGGGCAAGATGACGTCGTTTCATTCAAGCACGTTCGTCGTACCCCTATAGCGGACTATATGGTATGCATCCTAGAGAAGAATTTAACTTTCACTATAAGTTGATGATTTATACATATATAAATCTATTATAACACACAATATAAATTAATTAAATCAAGGTTTTTTTCGATAAATATACATTATCTAATAAACATTAATATTAAGCTAACTAAAATGAATATCATTTTCAAAATTTAAGTAAAATTATTTTTGTACACAGACCATTAAAATCAAATATATTATTTTGTACTTCGTATTGATTGTTTTCAATAATTTAAAGCAATGCCAGTACACTCGTAAGACTCTTAGGAGAGGTATACATTTCCTTAGAAACACAGTCTATTTGTCAGAAAAAGGGGGGATCCGAGGATCGCTTAGAAACCTGATTTTCTCAGGTCATGGGATCATGATGATCGCTTAAGACCCCATTTCTTTAGACATGCATTTCTTTATAAAGAGTCTAAATAAGTGTTGTATTGTATTGATTTAAATTATTGAAAATAATCAATACGATTAATAATTAAGTAATTTATTGTACAAACAAATAAATTATGTCAACAAAATAAAAATTACAAGTGATGATAAATAATATGTACCTTGTGGTCGTTCCAAACGTCTCTTGAACGATGATTGTATTGATTGTATAAAATAATCGGATTAATCTGTCCTTGATCAACATAATATCATTGATTGTATATATCAACATCCGGCCCAACCTACGATAGCATAACAACAATATAAATCAATTAGTATATAAATTAAATAAACCATTATAACAAAAATAAAAATTGGATAAAATGAGTACGTATCGCTTGATAATCATCATAGTAAATATCCTCTTCTTGGATAAAATCGGCCATTTTTTTCAGGATTCGGACAGAGATTCGACGGTTTTTTAGTGAAAACCAAAGAAAAGGTTTTTGAAGGCAGATCAGACTTAGCCGCAACCAACAAAACAACTACTTCCAAGGTTTTTGGGTGGGGAGGGGGATGGGTATAGTGAGAAACTTAGAGAGAGAGAGAGAGAGAGAGAGAGAGAGAGAGAGAGAGAGAGAGAGAGAGAGAGAGAGAGAGAGAGAGAGAGAGAGAGAGAGAGAGGAGAATGGGGGTTTGGTACGCAGAAAATGAGAGGAAGGGGTGGGTTTACATAAGAAAGGAACCGCGTACTGGAGGGGCGGTTTGATATTTTTACCCCACCAAAAACCGCGCCTCCAGCATACGGTTTACGTTTCCCAACGCGCAAACCGCACTTCAGGGCAATAGTTTCCCGCGGGAGACGCGAATCGCTCTGCTGGCTGGCAGTTAGACTGTTAGATCTCCTGCCCATCGTGCGGTTGCATGGACCGCCACGTGGAGACGCGTTTTGTCAGCTGCCCAATGGCAAACCGCCCCTCGCCCGCGCGGTTTATGGGGTATGGTGGTAGATTTGGAAATTCTTGGGAATGAGTGGTATTTCTATAATTTTTTGTAAAACAGTGGTTGTTTTGGATTTTTTCCATATAATCTTTAGTGCAACGTATGAAAGCTTGTGTATTGAGTTTGAAACAAAAATGAAAGGAGCGCTTGAAATGAGTCTGATGGGAGAGTTAAACTGTTTTCGCCTTCAAATCAAACAAAATGCTTCAGGGATATTTATCTGTCAACCCAAATATTTCCAGAATATGCTCAAACGATTTGACATTGGGAACTTAAAATCCACAATCATACTTATGACTTCATCCATCAAACTTGATAAAGACGAGTCATGATTAGATGTGAATGATAAATTCTATAGGGGAATGGTCGGTTCTTTGTTGTATCTTACAGCCAGCAGACCTTACATTATGTATAGTGTATGTTTGTGTGTGCTCATTTTCAAAGTTACCCCAAAGAAAGTCATTTAACTGCAGTCAAACGTATCATCAGATATCTCAGTGGGACTCCCAACTTAGGGTTTTGGTATTTCTGTGATTCCAGTCTAGAATTAATAGGTTACTTTAATTCCGACTATGATGGGTGCATAGTGGATCATAAAAGCACATTAGTAATGTGTCACTTCATGGGTACCTCTCTTGTATCCTGGTTTAATAAGAAACATAACTCTATTGCTCTCTCAATCGCATAAGCATGTGTTTTCTCACGGTCAGTTGAATGCTGTTGTACTCAACTTTTATGGACGAAACATCAATTACTAACCTATGGTTTGCAAGGGGTCAGTACTAATTTTGTGTGATAACTGATAACACCAGCACCATCAACATGTCGAAAAATCCTATTCAACACTCTCGTACTGACACGCCAAAACACAACACCAATCTGCGACCAAGTGTACTCGCAGACCGGGAATGAAGTAAAGTGGAAAGTTATATTATCAACCCGGGGTCTAGATCTACTGCTTACTCAGTGATTATCTATTATCTAGCCAACTAAGTCAAGTGATTGTTGTTTAAAGCAAAAGCAGAAAGAAAGCAGGAATTGGTACGGTTTTCTCAAGCAAAGAAGAGTCACTCGGGAATGAGTCCCCCTAGCTCCTTAGTTAGGTTTCAATTGTAATTTCCCTGGGTTGATTTACTGTTGATTAGACTGCGGAAGATCCGACAGTAGCTTGGAATCTCTTAAGCTGACCAAGCCCTCTCAGACTAACTACCCGGCAGACGACTAGTCTTCACCGGGATAGAAAGCTGAAGCATTAAGAACAGAACTCCACTACTGGAATTGAATTCCAGTACAAAGCAGTAAACTGGCTAACTCTCGTATAGCCAATCTCCTACTACCGAATGATGAGGCTCTAACAACCTAATCAGATTCTATCTATCTCAGGTTGCAGCAGAAATCAGGAAAAGCTTATCAGACTTCAATTGACTCAATAAACATGCATCATTCGATTAAAACCAAACAGTAATATCATCCCAAGTCATTACAATCAAATCCCTAACACATAGAACTAGGGTTCTTCATACCCAAGTGAGAGAAGGGTTCTACTCCGTAGAGAGAGAGAGGAAAACAGAATACAGAGTAGTCATACCCATAAAGATGAGGAAATCTGCTCTGGGATGATGATTTCCACTCCTATGACGATCTCCAAGCTTGATTTGATGAAACCCAGCTCCAAGATAGCTTCTAGGATGTGTTCTTCGTACTTTCTCTCTCTAGGGCTCTGTTTTTTCTCTCAAAACTCGATTCCCTCACTTTCAGCCCGAAATTGGGTAAAAACCAGAAATTCCCGACTCACACGGGCAGGCCCACACGGCCGTGTGGCATACCCAGTTGCCTGTGTGAGTTCAAAACGCCGCGTTCCAATTAATTGCACTTCAGGCTTCCTACACGGCCGTGTAACTCACCCTGCCTGGCCGCGTGAAGCCTCGCAAAATTCCACACGGCCAAATCACTCCTTCACACGGCCGTGTGAATATCAGGGCTGGCCGTGTGAAGGCTCGCACAATCTCACACAGCCAAAGTGGTCACTTGCACGGCCGTGTGAGTTGTGGGTGTACCCGTGTGGCTTCCTTTTTGACTTGCCTCGCACCCGAGCATCGTCCAATCGACCCCGAACTCGCTCTTAAACCTTCATTCACTTGCTAGGACCTAAAATATCACAAACAAACACAACCTAGCATGAAATAGGCCTAAAACACGAGAATTACCATCTCAAACGGCTCGAGAATAGGGGTAAAAACATGTGCAATTAACGGCTTATCAAACTCCCCCACACTTAACCGTTTGCTTGTCCCCAAGCAAACCAAGTCAGACACAAGGTCAGCTCACATATTTCAATCATACCATCATTGGGGACAAATCATATAGGCACAGAACACGTGAATCATATTGGTTTTCAAACATCAACACATGAACAACCTCAATAGCAACCTGGACAACCACCACAGAAGACATTCGAGTGCAGCAAAATCGAGTAAAGGAGGAGTCTCCCTTCTGTTCATCAACCAATATAGACTTGACTCAATCACTCACTTAAGACAGTCAACTCATGCATAAAACTCAAGACATCAGAATCAAGACCGAGCCATCTAGGGCCTCACCGGGTAAAGAGTGTAAAGAACAAGGAAATGAATCGCTCACTCTCGACCAGTGGGGTCAGGACAATTTGATACGAAAAATGCGCATACTAATTCTCTCAATTCCTAACATCTCTTCACCATGACGGCAGCCTCTAAATGTTAGAGTTCACATAAATGGTTGTCATCACTAACTAATCAGGAGGTCTTAGACACAGGTTCAAATGACTGCCTAGGGTCTTGGACATGGGGAGAAGGCCTTTTAGGTGGTGGAAGTATTCATAGCATAAGGTTCCACAATTCCAAACCCAACAAACTCACAGTCAAT